AAAAGGTTGGGGATGTAGCTCAGTGCAAAGACCCTGGGTTCAATCCTAGGGTACCAGAAAATAAGGAAGCAAGTATAATTAGCAACATACTTATTTTAATCCTTCCCATGAGAAAAGTGCTTTCTTTACTATCCTGAATGACATGTATGCATTTTCTCTAATCTTCAGAACAAACTTGCAAGTTACCATCTCTACAGATGAGAAAAATGAGTCTCAAAGAAATAACTGCTCAGACTTACAAGCCCTGCAACTAGTAACTCTCAAATGCTGACAACAGGACAGTAGAAGAAAAATCTAAGAGCTGGAGATTACCAATCCAGTTCAGGGGTTCTTAGTAAACTGGAGTAGACTCATGCACAGAATCTACATAACTTGTATATTTTCTCCATTGTTAACAAAGGCTGCAGCCTGGCTTTGGTGGAAGTTGTAGAAATGAGTGTCAAATACAAGTTTGTGTTCTGTTGGGTGGATAATCACAAAGGAAAGGAAGCAGTTTGTGCATGATCTAAAAACTCACCACCAGGGGCTAAGAATCCTAAAAGCTTAAGACACTAGGGTCCTATAGCTTGGAAAGAGGAGCATGAAGTGACACTGACAAGCATGATTCCTATTCCTTCTGTGCAGACAGACCTTAGTGAGCAGAAAGACTGCAGAAAGGGAGTGTGACAAGGTAACAGTAAAGCTGCTGTTTGATGAGCATCCATTAGATGCCTGGAACTTTATAAATATTAGCTTTAACCATCAGAACCTGAGTAAATTCTAGTTACTCCACTTTACAAAAGAGAAAACAGAGGCATCGAGGTCGATAATTTACCCAAATATGTAGAACTAATGGGTGATGGAACTAGTCTATGCTGACACCAGTGTGATTTCCAATTTCATGGTCTTTCCAAAATGCCAACCAACCAGCATCTGATGGTCACATACTCACACATATTTAAGGTACCCTGAAGTCCAGAGCTGAACAAGGAGCAAGCAGCATTTGGGTAACCACCAGGTATGGGTTATATAGATACAAAACTATTCCTTAAAGGATAAGATCCTGAGAAAATGGGGATAGAGGCCAGGACTGGACCTAGAAGGAACATAATTGCCAATGGTTTTGCCTTGCTTGCTTTAAGAGAGAACAAGTTTAGACTGTGAAAAATAATTTTCAGCTGGAGATCTGCCTCAACTGGCTTAGTTTTACCAATGGGATCTGATTAGTATTCTTGAGCTTTCATTAGCATCTGCAAGAAACACCCAAATGACACAAAGCCAATTCTAGTGGCTGAAATTTAACATTTTAACCCAATTTTTTCTAAGGTTGACCTGTGATAAAATGCTGGCTAGCTATTTCCTTTTTGTAAACTATTTTAGGCCTCAACAAGCAAACCATTTATATAAGCATCTTTGCAGTCACCTCTGCCAAGCCAGGCCAGTGGATGACCGAGTCTTCTTGTAGAATGAATTTAAAATTTATATCATTAGTTGCTGGAATGCAGAATGAAGAGTACTTTTCCCAGTTTTGGAGGACTAAAGCCAAGGTTATAAGTAAAAATCCCTTAACATGATCTTCCTATAACTGCCTTTGTGCTGACACAAATCCAGCCTACAGAGCAGTCTTTTACTGCATCCTCTGTTGTAGGTTTTCCATTTTAGGAGAATTGATAGTGATACTACGTATAAACACATTCTCTGCCAGTCATATTCTGTGACTAAGTTTTTAAAAAGGGAATCTTGCGGCCAGTAATAATATTTATATTGAAACTCATAGCTCCTACTTTACAGGGTGAGGGCAATTAATGGTGAAGAAAGGAATTCCCTTACCCATACACAATTTTTCTCAGATGTCTCAAGAAAGCAAAGAAATATATTGAGCTCAGAGTAGAAATCCTGCAGTAGTTTCAGTGTTGCACAATGTTAGGATCAACCCTTGAAAAGTCCCTCAGTGCCAAGACAAACTGATTATATGCAATTCTTTCCAAATAGTGTATTTTGCTTCTAATGAAAAGAATAGTTTAAGTCCTTCCTTTGCTCTGTCAAAGTCTTAGGAATCGTTGTCCACAGTCTTGTAAATCCAGAACTCCATAAGAGGCTGAGGCAAAAGGATCAAAAGCTCCAAGACCAGTCTGTGGAACTTTATGACTTGGTGAGACATTGTCTCAAAAAAAAGGGCATGGGGTGCGGAGATAACTCAGTGCAAAGGCCCTTAGTTCAATTCCCAGCACTGGGGGAAAGAAAAAAGCCTAGGGCCATTTTTGTGTAGCTCTTAACTCACTGAATCTATTGCACTGGAAAGAGGCAATTATAAAATTAAATTATAGAAAGTTTCATTTAGCAAGGGAGCTAAAAGCATTATTTCCCTAGTAAAATGCCACTACCTTTTGGGTGGTTTGATTATAGTGTTCTATTAGGAGACAGCAATCAGTGCTTTCACTAAAATGGCCTTTTATTTATTATAGTAAGTAAAATCTAGCTTTTTAAAAAAAGCAAGTAATTGCTCTAGAGCAATGAATTCTATGTTTTTATCCTTTATTTAATGTTTGAAGAACTTAGATAAGAGTTTAGAATGCCACAACCTGAGAAAATCAGTATGAACAAGAAGGAAACAAACAAGTAGGTTTACTTTTTGTGTAACTGCCCTAATATAACCAAGCCTGTGGGAAAGGTTTTCTACTTTTCAACAGTTTCTGGTTCAAAACTAAGTTCACTTTAGATCTATGGAGAAAATAATCTGCAAAGTGCTTGCAATGCTGAGACCTGTTGTCAGGTACTTAAAAATGACAAGTCCCTACAGAATTTTTTTTAGAGTAGTTATATTTTCAGAGACATGAAGATATATCCTAAAACAATCAAAAAGTAGGAACAATTCTATATTTTATCAAACACCACCAGTTCAAATATCCTTATATACATTTAAGAATTCTTGGGGAAGCAATAAGTGGAAATGATTATCTATTTACAAAGACTTCTTGGAATATATAGTTTATCAGTTTCCTTTTCAGAACAAACTGATCAGTACATTTTAGAAATCTATTTCCCTGAAGTTTCGTCCAGTAGCTCTCAAGCCCAACCATTTTATAATCTGACTTCTAGTAACCTTTGCTTTGAGAGGAAATTTTTTAAAATTGCTATACTTAGAGTCAGATAACCAAAATTCAGCAGCATACAAGACACTATGTAATATAATCATATTTCTGTGTTTTCCTGTATTTTGTTGTCTTCAGAAAGAACATGATTCTGAAATGTAAAAGCCACCTTGAAAAATACCGACATAAGAGCTTTCTCTATCTTAAGAGTGTCATGTTTCCATGGTGATGAAACCAGCCCTTGATATCCAATTAACCAAGGTGATCCTGTGCTTCCTGCTTCCTCATTCCATGTACTACAGAGACCCACAGAAGGAAAGAAGAAGAGAACAGGTAGCTGGACAGAGAACTGCCAGGAGACTCAGTGTCTGATCTAAAGAGATTTTGTGTGTGTCCCTGCTCTTCAGAGAAATGACATATTCAATCCTCATTATTTTGCATAAGTGGTATTCTACTTTGAACAATACCTTTAAAGTAATTTTACAAAATATGAACAACCTATAAAAATTCAAAAGCACCTCCCTTTTTGCAAGCAGTTTCTATTGCCATCTAGATAAACTACCTTCCTCATGCTTCTGAGGCCACTCAAAACTGCATCTACTCCCACCTTTGATTTTCCCACAACTGTTCTACTAACGGTCTATGTAACTTGTAAAGTGGTTTCTGAACCCACTTCCTCAGCAAAATTTTTATCAGTCAGGGTAGTTATGCTCCCTTCTCACTTGCCTGTGCCCTTCGTACGCCCCCTGTGGCTTCAGCCCTAACACTGCACTTATTAGCATGTCATAAAAATGCAACAGCAGCTCCTGAACCTAGCTGTGCATCAGAATCATCCTATGGAGATATTGGGTCCTGTTCTAGAACTACAGTGTCAGAATTTCTAGAAATGGAGGATTTCAATAAATCTACAAATGCTGCCAGGTTTAGGAATCAATGAAGTATGTTTCAGTTGGTTTCTAATATGTTTTTGTGCTCCCAATAGGTATCTGCATCCAACTAAGTGCATGGGGTATGTTTAAGTAGGGTAAGCACTAATCTGCAAGCATATCTGAAAATGTTTGTTAAAATGCAGATACCCATGTGCTAGCCCAGACAATTCTATCAAATTTGACTCTGTGGGGTATGGCCAGGGAATTTAAATTTAAGAAAGAGTCCCATATAAGAGATTGCCCTGTATAGAAAAACCAGTGCCCTTTGAGAGTCAGTTGAGACCCCAAAGAGACCAGTCAAGTAACCTCAGTGAGCCAGCCAGACTGAGTGGAAGGAATGGCTAAAGGGAAACTGGTCTCCCAGGCAGAAAGGTAGGCATTTCTTTGCCTAAACAGTTTGTTGCTATTTCACCACAATTGAACATGATCCAGTACAGTTTGAGTTTTTCAGAAACAAGAAATAAGAAGTAGTTTAATTCCTCATATTTCTAATACACTGTAACCTCTGTGTCTGGGTTTCTCTGAAGATCTGTGTCATTAAGAACTTGACCAAGTTACTTCTTATTATGGGTTATACAGTATAATTGATTATAGTGATATAAGGTCTTATTGGTCATTCAAATCATTCCCACCACTTAACTGTTTGAATTCTCCTCCAAGCACTGATAGTGCGCAAACCATTACATCTCTCTTCCAGATTTACCTGCACTGCACATATCCAAATATATTTTTGGCTACCTTTACTAGAATATCCTACCAATCTCCCAATGAGATTCTAGTACCCTTCCTTCAAGTGGTTCCTAGCTGTCTCACTAACACAACTCTAACCACAGACATATGGTGTCCACCTTTAATCCTCTGCCTTTCATTTTAACTCCTACACTGGATCATCTACCAAGTTGTTGCTAAGTCTGCCACCAACAGCAAGAAACTCACAAGTCACCTCTATTCTAGGCAAGCTTTGCATATCCTTTTCATTGTGAAAATACCACCACACTACACTATCTTATGACCAGTCAACTTCATCTTACAAAGGAAATCTTGTTCTTTTTCTATGGGATAAGGCCAAGATAGCCTTTCCTCTGGCTGAGGTGGGGCAGACTTGGAAAGATCATACTAAAGATGAATTCTCATCTTAGAAAAGAGTCTATACACTTGCATGAAGTTCAGAATCATGGAACTATCCTGGGGGGTGGAGTCTGAGCTTTAGCAATGGGTTTAGGAGGCTCCCCCCACCTTTATGTTGCAAGGTAAAAGGTGACCGAGAGCAGCAAGTAGATAGATGTGTGCAGAGTCATACTCACTAGGTCTTTTGTTTAAGAATTCCTATCACTGACATCTCTTGTCCACATTTAGATTTAGAGAAAAGTCTCATCAAAACAAAAATCCTAGCAGCAGTTGAGACTAGCTGGGGTCATGGCAGCACTTCTAGCTCTCAAAAGTCCTCAGCCAGTTCTCTTCTAATATCAAAGCATTTACAGATGAAAACATGAAGAATCAACAATCATTTGTAGTAAGCATAGAATCTTAGTTGGAAATGTTCAGTTTTTCTTTGCAAAGCACATCAAACAGCCACAAATTTCAGCTTTTTGGCATCCTCAAAGAAAAGTTGTACAATTTAGCCAGAGAATTATACCAAAAATAATTATTAAATTTCTCAAATACCTAGTAAAATCAAATTACCTTCATAATACTACAACAAGAAGGAGCACATATTTATTAAATATAAGAAAAATGGACTTTCAGGGTCAAAACTGAGTACTTTAACAATAAAACATATATAAGAACATTTCATTAAAATGTAAAACAAACATTTTTCTCCCCCTATTTTCAAGTTTTTTCTAATGCCCCCAAAAAGCAAAGATCTGCCAGTCTGTAACTAAACATCCAGAGAGAAAATCTTGTCTATTAGTTATCATTTCATTCAAAGGATTGTGAAATGCAAAAGCAAACACACCAATTTATTTATTAGTAATCAAGTGAAAAGGTAAACTGTTTACCTCCCAGTATTTTTCCTGATATCTGGTATGGCAGATGAATAAAGAAAGAAATCCTTTAAAATATCAAATCTAGAAAAGATACTACCTAGAAATAAGTGAAAGTAATTCACAGAGACAGTAAAAATAAGAATTTGCAGTATCTGTGCTTAGTAACAGGAGTGTCAATACATCTTTCAAATCTTATCACTTTACCAAGTCCACATGGATCTTCTTTGCAGAATTTTTCACAAACTGTGGAATATTTTTTGACCAAGAAAAAAAGTCTAGGTCACCTAGTCCATTGGTTCTTGTAGCTCTCTGGTTGGAGGAGATCTAAGCATGTATGAAGATGAGTGGAAGTACTCTATGTTGCTAGCATTTTCCCTGCCGGTCTTTGTGTCTATCTGAAGAATCTTTTAGCACATTTATCAGAAGCCAGACAATGCCAGCTCTTTTGATACTAGGTCTCAGGGTGCAGCTTTCAAAACCATCCTTTGTTCCACTCTTCCTGTATTGGCAAACCACACCCAGCAGGGAGTCTATACACTGAATTTCAAACATGACCTGTTAATATGCCCAATACTGTTGCTGCAAAGGAGGAAGGGAAATCATATTAATTGAATCCTGGCCCATTGTTGCTCATAATGCCACAACTGTATTTTCTATATGTTAAAATGATCTGAAATTATTTGTAAAACCATGTGAAATCTTTAGGTGACTAAACCTACAAGTTTTAAATCACATATTTATCATTATTAAAAGCAATTATTTTTTCACAATAATTCTGCAACAAAACCATATAGAGTACATGTCAACAATTAAAAAAATAATGTTAAACTGGGTATGGTACTGCACACTTATAATCCCAACACTCAGGAGGCTGAGGTAGGAGGATTGCTGGGCTTTTAAGACCAGCCTAGACTGTATAGGAGACTTTGTCTCAAAAAATAAATAAAACATTTACTCTGGTCTTCCTGTTGGAACACTGATAATCACTTGCAATACCGCTATACCTGTATGTACGTCAAGTTTTATTATTTGTCATTTTCTTTAAAATATTTTCCTCCCAAATGTTTTTGGGAAGGTTATTGTTATTCCAGTTTCACAGATGTCATATGAAGATAATAATAGTATCTACCTCTCAGAGGATTGCTTCAGGGACTCATGTCATCCATAGTAAAGATATAGAGTTTATGGTGCATTACTTATTGAAATCCTCAAAGCATGTTAGCTATTATTTATATGCAAAATTACTAGCAATTATATTAAGGTTATCAGAAGTCCATTATAAGAATGCCAATTTGGTTTAGGACTCTTCAGTACAGTACAGGTTTTTCTAGGACAGTTCTTCCAAAAACTGAAGACGCTACCATTTACGTATGCTGATTCATTTCCCTACAATGCTCTTTCCCTCCTTACCCCTGACTGAGCCTCTCTATTTGACTAATTTTTCATCTTTAGATTTTTGGCTTAGTCAGTACCTTTCCATGAGCAAGCAGCTCCTGGCAGTACCCATGTCCATACTATACTGACAAGTATTAGGATACTCTTTCTACATGCTCCAACCCATATCACGATAGTCTCCTTGTTTGTCCTCCTCCCCGTGATGCTTCATGAGGGCAAAGATCATCTTTCAATACAACAGGTAAGCATAATGGCAGAACATACCATGTGCTCAACTGACTGTATGCTGTGTAATACCCCATATCGGACAGCAGTATGTTAGAGGCTGGAAGAACAGATGTGATACAGTGAGACAGTGATCACGGCCAACCTGAGAGAGAAGGGGAGAGGGAGAGGCAGGGTGGGGATAGAGAAAGAGAGAATGTGAATATCTGGTTATAGGGCCAGTTGAAGATGAGGATAGCAAAGTGGGAGGGATATAGCATCATAGTACTGCAGACCAGAAGCAGAGGGGAGAGTCAATCAGTTCTGGAGAAAATCAGATTCCATCCCGCTACCTAAAGTAATCAGAGCCACACCCTAGCAGCGCCACACCCAGACCACTGATAGTCCAATATCTAACCCTGCCACAGGAGAAGCAATGAGAGCGTCTGTTCATTCACCAGGCAGTGGGACTTAGAAACCAGCACAGCTCTCAGGCCCCAGGCTAAACTTTTCAACCAGAGTATTTAACAACCACAGGCAAGTCAGAGACCTCCACTGGGCAATAAGAGTCCTGTTTGACCCGTGGACCCCCAAAGACTTACCAGACAGTTGGGATGTGTTGTGCATGTCTGGCTCAACACCAAATTGCTGTGCTGGGGAAGAAACTTTGATACTTTGGGTACAGCTGATGGTAAATGAATTGGAATGTTCTGATTTGTTACAGCAGCTTCATCATAGGAAGGGACGATTTTAGAATAATATCGGACAGCATGGAAGGAATTAAGAGAGAGGGCTGCACTGGGAATTCGAGTTTTATACAGATCACCAATAGCACTCTCTGAAGTGGAGCTTGACTGACCTTTAATAAGAAAGAAAACAAATATCTGTCAGTGCTGTATACACAGTTCTGATCTCTGGACTACTATATTTGAAATAAATTGTCCTGTGTTTCATTTCCTCATGCTACACACTCATACTACATTACATTCAAACAAATGCTGATGGAAAAACAAAATGAGTAACACAGAAGTGACATTTAAGGCAGTATGCACATTATAAATCAGTGTGCTATGAAAAGAGAGTTTTAGAGAAGCAGAGGATCTCTGTGCCTTCTACAGTGTATCTATGCATTTGGCTTCCATCATAATCAAAACTGGCCATCCCTAAAAAGCAAAAAAAAAAAAAAAAACAAAAAAACATGGGAAAGAACAACGTATTCAGCCATGAATAAAATTAAGTTGATTTTTCCATTACTGAAGTATACTACTTTACCATACATCTATATTTAGACATTTACATATCTATACATATTGATATATTTTGAGCAGTAATTAGAAGACAGATTATTAATTTATAATCTCACCAATGTAATCTCAATACTGAATATTTTCAACAATAATAATAAAAGTGAAATAATATAATTTTATACCTACTTAAAATACAAATATACCTGGGATATTTGTAAAAAAATAATTAGCGTAAATGTGCATAGAGACTTATGGAAAAGAATAAAATAAGAAAGCTAACGAAGCATAACCATGGCCATGTTACAGGTCAAGCACCATTATCTAAGGGTATTCTATATCTGTGGGAAACCTTGGAACCTTGAGAGAGAAGTGACTGAACTCTACAGTCTTCAATTTCCTCAACAAGCTGGACAGGAAAATATGTATTTTCTGTTTTCTAACTGATGCATCCTATATCTCTGGAAATAAAATCCAAGAAGTCCAAATTATAGAAAGCTCTATATGGGAGAAGTATGTCCTATCACATGATTTTTAAAATCTGTCCCCAACCTGGAACCACTAAATGTAGCAACTGAAAGACAGCTAAGAAAATTGCTCCGTAAGTCATTTGCTAAACTAATAAAACCACTAAAGTAGTGATGAGGACAATATAACAACACATTAAAATACAATGGCACAACGTGAAGTTGAAAAAAATTAGGAGACAACGGGGAGTCCAAATGATTGCTGCTACTGGAAAAGAAAATACATACAACATAAAGTGATGGCACAGCTAGGTCAGCAAGGCTCTGACCTTCCAGGTCTCCTCTGGGTTGAACACACAATTGTCTTCATATATTTGTGTCCTCTGAAGAGTGGTCTCTTTGAGTGATGTGATGCCATGAGATACTGGCACAGAAAGCTGAATCACTGCCATAAAAACAGTTCTTCAGCTTTTCTGTAGAATATAAACAGTAATGTGTGTACATGACATAACAGTGACAGGCATATGCCTGTGGCCTAACCTCAGTCTGATTTAATCTGAGCTGATCTAATCATTTCAAGTCACATTCAGGCACAGCTACTTTAGTAGTTTAACCATGGCTCATGGCAATTTTATTTCCCTATCTTGTTTCTCTCGTCCAGGTCAGAAGAAAAGTCGGTTGACTAACAAAATCCTGAGGCTGATTTGGTTGTATAAGAAGTATGTATTCTATTTCAGGCCCTTTTCCTTTTGATTTGAGTTATTAACCCTAGAAACCTCATTTGTTGTCGTGGCTCCCATTATAATCCCCACATGTGTGTGGTACCTATAGTGTGACACTTAAAATACCAATGAACCATAGTTTGCTTTTGCAATGCTCTGTGCCACTTATATGTAAATTCCGTAAGAATGGCATTGACCTCCTAATGGAAGAAGAGACAATAAATAAAACATACAAAGAATATTAGGCAGATGGTAAGTGCTCAGAAGACAAATCTAGCAGAGATAGTAGGTAAAAATCCCTTGCATTGTGTATAGAGAGAAGTATGAAGTTTTATCTCGGTGAGTGAGAGTGACTCACTGGGAAGGTAATATTTAAGCAAAGACGTTAATACACTTCAACTTTTAGATATGACCCAAAAAGGCTCCAGTAGATCTCAAGTCTTCTTAGTATTTTAAAAGCCTGAAACCTAAGATGCATCCCAAGGGTAGATAATTAGATTTTCTGGTTCTGTGTAGGACGAATAACATCACTACATTTAAACAAAGACATGAAAAATAAAAATAATGTAATATATTAAATGCCCAGTATACAGTCAATTCTAAATTAATGTGAGTAAAATCAGCTTTCTGTATCTATATGATCCTCATCTGGGGATTTCCATGGATCAAAAAAAAAAAAAACTGTTTTGAAAAGCTGCATCTATTCTGAACATACACAGACTATTTTCTTGTCATCACTCCCTAAACAACATAACAACTACTTATACAGCATTTCGATTATATTAGATACAAGTAATTTAGAGATGATTTAAAGTATATGGAAAGGTTACATGCAAATACTATGTCATTTTATTTAAGACACTTGAACATCCACAGAATTTGGTATTCTCAGGGTTCCCAAAACAAATCACCCATGGATTTTGAGGGACGACTATTCATCTCCTCCCTTTATGTTCTATTTTATAGATAGACAGATAGACAGATAGGTACCGTGCTTATCATCTACTAGCATGATGATGCTTCTGGTAATTAAGGTCAGTCTTGAGCCCGGTTTCTGAGCTAAAGCTACTTAGATGCCTGTGGCCACCTTATACTTCAAGCTGTCAATACGAGAGGACTCCTCATGTAATTGCCCAGCTGCACGCTACCCTCTAGTTATGGCAGCACATGCCCGGGAGCCAAGGGGTGTAACAGGACATCCATGAAGGCCCAGCACCCACAAACACAGGTATAGGCAGGGCTCACCTCTCACAGCTTCATCCAAGGTGCTCCCCGTGGCGGGAAGAGAAAACACATTCAAGCGCTTATTGGCCAGGAACTGGAGCCCTCTCACAGGTGTGTAAGTGCTTGCCAATACACTGTTCTCCCTTGAAAGAACCAAAAATAAACAACAAAACAAAACACACACACACAAAAAGCATTTTGCACATTTCTCCAGGAAGACAATATAAATATTACTGAGTTCAAATGCTCCTCTAATCATTTAAGTTCTAAAAAATCTTGACAGAGCCTCAACTACAGATTATTTAAACATGAGAACAAAAAGCGGTGCAGGGCCATGGTCATCCTTAGGAATGACTAGCTTTTCCTACAAAGTTTCTGTTTGTTTACATATTCTAATAAACCTATGCAATCATTTGGCATGTTACATTTCATATTATCAAGTTTCCTTAGGCCTGGTAAGTGAAACAGGGCTAGGTTTTCTAGGGCATTAGACCTCCTGGACAGAGGAGCACTAGAATCTATAATGTCCCTGCTAGATTACCATAGCCACAGCCAGTACAGTCAGGAAAGGCAAAAGCTCCATTGTAGGATCTTCAGGAGTAAAAAAAAGAAGAAGAGTGGGTCAAATGAGGAAAAGACCATCATAGCCCTGAAAATATTCATTATATCTCCTTATCACTGTAATGAAATGATATACACTACCAATGTAAAAAGTCAATGATCCTTAATAAATATCTAAGATTTCATATGGATGTGCTCAGTTACTATCTACACATAAGGTATCAGCATGAGTGGAGAATAAACAAGCAGCAGTCTTTGGATTCGCTAGAGCCTTGATCATACCTTTCCGTCTTGACTGTGCATGGCAGGGATAGCTGGATGGGCATTTGTTTCTTACAAAATCTCCTGTTATTCTGAAGGACTTCTGTAATCTAAAAAAATATAGACATAAGTAGATAAAAATAGATTTAAATAGATGTATTTTTTCACAAACACAAAGTTATCCATTTCCAGTTTAATAAAAAAGAAACAAAATTATGGCATAAAACCATTGCCTATAAGGGTAAAATTCAAACTTGGGAGTTGACTACCTGGCTCATGGCAGCTGGAGGGATTTTCTCCCGGACATACTTCACATAGTCAACTGTTGCCTCTAGAATTGAAGCCGAGTCATTCTTCCTCCCCTTGTTATATGGCAAGAGAATGCGCAGCTGCTCACAGCAATACTTGATGCGTTCTCTGATCAAAGGGTTGTAATAGAGGAATAATTAGTCTCATTTTACTCACATGAACAAAGACAATCTTTCCTCCTGAGCTTGTGTGTAAAGGAACTGCTCATATCTTTCACCATCTAGTCTCTGGCTCAAGAAAAGACTATCTCCAGAAGCCAGTAGCCTTCACAAACTTTTAAGCCACCCACTCATAAGCTGCACAAAGGAAGCACTTCCAAGATGTAAAGTTTAAATAGACAGCAGCCCCAACTTCTTCAGCCCAGACCTGCTGAAGAATGCACGGTGCCCCTAACAGGGCAAGAACACACACACCTTCCCTGTCTGTGAAAACCAACATTCTGCTCTCTGAGCAAAGAATCACACACACACAAATACACAAACACACACACGAAACTTAGCAGGCAAAAAACAGGGATCTTCATGTTACTGGGACTGGACCAGGTTTATAACAATAGGTCAATTAGCATCTCATAATAACATGTGATTATGTAGCCTGAGCCAAAAGAATGAAAAGACTGTTTCCCTTCCAAAAGGAGGTATGGACAGAACAAATAAATTAATATCCAGGCCAGTGAAAAGAGGAAACTAAAAGTTTCATGGGCCTGGTGATCTGAAAAGAAATTTGTAGGAGTTATATATTTGATTAATTTAAGCTTTTAGTGCCTTTGTTCATACATGTGTTCATTTACAAGACATTAAATACCTGTTATGTGCTACACATGGGCCAGACATATAAAATGACCCAGCTAATTACTACCTGGGACCTTATTATGCAAAATACTTAACTCTCTGATCCTTGCAATGACAGAGAAATTAAATAAAAATCAAGTTTAATATATATTTAATGACAAATACTCTAGGTAAGTGATATTTTTACTGGGCTTTGAAATCTCTGGGGATTCTTTAAAGGTGTCTCAGGAACTATTCAGAAAAGAAAAAAATGAAAGAGACAACAATTTGACAATGAGTGTGCAGGGCTTTGAAAGTGTCCATACCCTTTAACAAGGTAATTTCCATTTTCAAAGATTTACCCTAAAGAGATAATCTAAAACACAGAGAAACTTTCAAATAAAGATATTCATTATAGCAGTATATAAGTAAAGCAAGCTAAATACACAGCATGACAGGATCCCTTAAGTAAACTATGCTATATTTGTTCAGTAAAATATCATCTGGCAGTAGAAGTGATATTTTATAAAGCTTACTAGGGAAAAATAGGGTAGAAGGCAGCATCTAAAATATTGTTTTAAGCATTAAACAAAGCAAAAATGAAACACAGAAAAAGAGTGAAATCAAAACCAGTTAGTAATAATTATTCCTGAGAAGCTGTCTATGGGTAACATTTTATCTTTTTATCTTTCATGCTTACCAAATATTTTGCCAGGCCATATATCACATAATGAAACATTGAGATGATGAAAAAATACTACTCTACATTTGTTCAACATTAGAAAAATGTTCAAACAAACAAAAGAGGTGAATTTTTAGTGCATACCTGTATAACCAATCACTCAGAATCTATAATTAACATCTGCTATATTTACTTTATCATATGTATCTTCCCACTGCCAATCCATCTATCTAATTTCATATATTGAGACATTTAAAATCAAGTTGTAGACATTTAGTACTACAACCTAAATTTATCTGCAGAGTTCAAATTATTTTATCTTCAGGTAAAAGCTAAGTGAAATAAAATGTACAAATCTTCAGGGTCCATTCTATGAGTCCAGACAAACAACCTTGTAACACAAACCCTAATCAACACTGTCAAAACCCTAGAATGTTCCTTATATTCCTGACCAGTCGTCACCATCTCCAGTTCCATAAGACATTTCTCCACTCACATTATTTTGCATGACCTAAAAGAGCACATTAATCGTTTCTTAAAACATGTGGTAGGACTTCACTCAAAATAATGTTTCCAAGGTTTCTCTATTTGGCTGCCTACAACAAGATGCTTATTACTTTGTATTCCGTTGTATAAATACTCCACAGCGTATTTATCTATTCTCTTATGATGAACACTTAGGCTTTTGAGGTGTTTTGTTTTTGTTTTTGTTTTTTGTTTTTTTTTTTTTGGCTTTTGAGTTTTTGTTCATTATAAATAAAGCTGCTAGATCATTCCATACATTTTTTTGTGAATGTGTTATTTCTCTTGGATAAATATCTAGGAATAAATGATAGGTCACTTTTATAAGTTTATAAACACTGCTAGAATTTTTATCAAGTAGTACCATTTTCTACTCTCAACCATCAATATATAAAAGTTTTTTTTCAAAAAAATTTGGGGCTGTTTTGGTGCTGAGATTCAACCTAGTGTCTTTGCTCTGAGGTAGATCCCCATCTCTTGTTAGTATTTTTTCTGTGAGACAAAATTGCCCACATGGGCCTCAAACTTTTAATCCTTCTGCCTCAACCTTCAAATGTACTGGGATTACAGGTATGTGTCACCATGTCTGGGTTGTTTAAATCTTTTGACAATATTTAACATTGTCAGTAGTTTTAATTTTGGTCTTTCTGAAATATATGTGGTAGCACCTCCTTATAATTTATCTAGTATTTCTCTCACAGCTAAGATGATGAGCAACATTTTCCTTTCTTATTGAACACTTATGTATCTTCTTTTGTGAATTATTTGTTCATACATTTTATTTGGATTACACATGGTTTTTAAAATTTATTATTAGTGAGTTTTAGGACCTTTTACATGCCCTGAATACCAGTATTTGTCAGGTATCTGTTCAGCAATTTTTTTGAGATGTCTCAGGACCTCATACACAATCAAGCCATCTAAAGGATTTTTATTCTTTCTAATATGTATGTCTATTTTTCTTGCCTAACTGCAATGGTTAGGACTGTTTACTTAGTGAGAAACAGAAATTTTAAACAGACACCCTTATCTTGCTCCTGATCTTTTTAAAAACAGTCCATATTTCATTAAGTGCAAATATTAGCTACAGGTACTGCATAGATGCCCTTTAATAAAGATGAAGAGGTTTTCCTCCGCATCTACTTGTTGAAAGTTTTTTGGCTCTGTTTTCTTGAGTTTTGTCAAGAAAGGATATTGAATGTTATCAAGTTTGGGGTGGTTTTGTTTTTATGAGAGTAAGTCTTTAACCTGCAGCCTCACCCATTGTAGGCAAGTGCTCTGCCACTGAGCTATACTGTCAGTCCAGGTAATTTTTCTGAATCTTCTAACAATGTTTTTCCCCTTTATTCTGAATTAAACTGTTTTGGGGGTTTTTTGGGGGGGTTTTTTTGTTTTGTTTTGTTTTGTTTTGTTTTTGTTTTTGTTTTTGTTTTGCATTACACCAGCCTTTTTTACCAGCCTTGTTTTTGAAAGGTAAACTTGATATGATCATGATACATGATATCTTTATATTGTTCTTGATTCAATATACTAAAATTATATTGGGTCTATGTTATAAAACTTTGGTCTGTTATTTATTTCCTAAAATGTCTTTGTTAGATTTAGGAATTTAGGTTACGTTGGTCTCCTGAAATATGTTAGGAAATATTCCCTACTCCATCTTCCTTAAAAATCTGTTCCAGACAGAAATTATTTCTTTGAATGCTTGATGAAATTCATTGGTAAAAACTAATCATTATGGAGCTTTTTCTCTGGTAAGTATTTGATAGTATTTTCAGTTTATTTAATATGTAAGACTATGCAGATTTCTGTTTCTTTTGATATCAGTTTTGGTAAACTGTGTTTTTCCAATAATTTGTTCACTTTATCTAAGTTGTTGAATTTATTGGCATAAAACTGTTCAAATATGCCCATAATGAATGTACATATTTACTGGATCTGTAATGACAGTCTCTCATTCATGATACCGGTAAATTGCATTCATTCCCTGTGGAACCCCTTTCTTGTACTTAATTTTTTCAGCTTAAAATGGTAACTTGTTTTACTAATTTTTAGATCTTTTTCCTGTTCTGATATAAACATTTAGTGTTTCCCTAAACTTTGCTTTAGTTTGACCCCACAAATTTTTATATATTATGCTCTCATATTCATTTTGAAATGTCTTCTAATTTTCTATGATCTTTTTTTATTCATGAATTATTTAGAACTGTGTTTTCAATATCCAGATATTTCAGGCTTCTCTTTAAATCAAGTTTTCATTTAAATCTTATTAACTTCTAATTTAATTTCACTATGGTTATAAAATTCACTCTTCATGAATGTAATTCTTTTAAGTATCTTGAGATCTCTCATACTTGGCACAGAGTCTGTATAAATGAATACCCCCACATGGCCTTGAATAAAGGAAGTATTCTATTGCAGTTGTGAGATGTGTTGTCCTACCAACATCCATTAGATCAAGGAGGGTAGTAATACATCTTCTGATTATTGGTATCTAGTTGTATAAACTGCTGGCATAGTGTTATTAAATCTCCAACAATACTTTTAGGATTATCTACTTGTCCCTTTAATCTGTAAATGCCTCACTTAAATATGTCACAATCACACAGATTTGCTATTTGGATCCCACACTTGGGGGTATAAGGCAGGAGGATTATTACAGCTCAGGAGTTTTAGACCAGCCTGGACAACACAGTGACACTCTGTCTCTAAGAATAAAAATCATTCTGATATACTGACAGTTTTATCACTATGTAATGCCTCTCTTTACTTCAAATGATATTAAATGCCTTCAGATTTACTTTATTTGATATTAACATAGCCAATGTGGTCCTACATTTACTGTTTCCATGGTATATATTTTCTATGTATGTACATTATTATGTCTTTATATTTAAAGTGTGTCTCTTACAGAGAGCAGATAGGTGGCTGTTCGTTTTTGTTTGTTTTTAATCTGTCCTGACAAACTCTGACTAGATGTTGGATATAGTTGGATAAAGGTTTACTTTTTTAATATGATCTCCTTTATTCTCCTTGGTTTTTAGTTCTCTTTTCATCCTTTCTGTTTGAAAACTTTTTACTTTTTTTGAATACTTTTTAAACATTCAATTTCAGTTTGTTTTTGGCTTCATAGA